TTTTTCGCTATAGGGCGCGTGCGCTCGCCAGACAGAGAGAGACATAGAGACAGAAAGCGAGAAATCACCCCCCAGGGGGGATGGTCACGCCGCAATCCCTTCTCCTCCATTCTCCTCTCGGGATCTTGGGCACGTACGCACACGCGCCCGGCGTGAGTTTTAAGCCACCGGGTCCAGGACGCGAACCGCGGTCGACTACGTGGGAGTCCAGCGACATAGCCATTACGCTAACTGCTGGTTCCCTCCAGGGTGGTTTTGACGTGGCATGGCATAGCACACAGGAAAGTAGACATGACCCTGCGTGCACTTACTTGTTTTATTTTGGTCATAGTTTTCTGGAGGGCCTCAGAAAGAAACTACAGCTGGTGGTTTCTACTTCACTTCTTAATGACCCTCAAACCAGTCTGCCTGGCCTTAAGAGTACGCTCGGGTCCCTCCTGTTTTTGTATCCAGTTCTGATGGTCCCTGATTGGTGGGTGAAGTGTCCACTAGTGTTAGATAAATGGAAAGCTAGAGCAGTGCTGCTATCCTGGAGGAGGCATATGTCCCCAGCCATTTTGGTTATACCTGGAGTTTTTATAAAACACTGAGAGTGATGGGGGCGTGTATTACCCACGTAAGTGGTGAGGAGGCAGGAAAAAAGTTGAACTCTACTGAACCAGTGAGTAGTAAGCCAGGGTAGTTTAAATTGTGAAAAAAAAAAGAAGGAAAAAACAAAAGGCATTCTGACTCCCCTGTCCTAGACATGACCTCCCCTGCCCCGCCAATGCGGTTGCTGAAAGTGTAATGTTTTAACATAATGATTTACTTATTTTTATTATTATATATTTTTTAATTTGCTGTAGGGCACATGCACTCACCAGAGAGACAGAAAGAGAAGAGGAAAGTGAGAAAGCAAGCCATCAGGTTGAGGAGTCAAACCGTAGTTGACCATATGGGAATCCAGCGCCTTAACCACCACACCACCTTCTGGCCTCTGAAAGTGTAATTTTTTTTTTTTTTTTAGAATTATTTATTGGGACCAGCAGTTAGCGTAATGGCTATGTCACTGAACTCTCATGTAGTTGACTGAGGTTCAGGTCCTGGACCCAGTGGCTTAAACTCATGCTGGGTGCATGTGCATGCGTGCCCAAGATCCCAAGAGGGGAATTGAGGAGGATTGTGGCAGGGCCATCCCCCCTCCCCCCGGGGAGGGGTGATTTCTCGCTTTTTGTGTCTCTGTCTCTTTCTGGCGAGCGCACACGCCCTGTATCAAAAACCCTCTCCAAAAAAAAAAAAAGAATTATTTATTTATTTACTTATTTTAATTTGACAAGGGAGAGAGAGAGAAAGTGAGAAAGCAAATCTCCAGATCCAGGACTCATACCACAGTTGGCCATGTGGGAGTCGAGCACCCTTCACGACTATGCTACCTGCTGGCCCCTGAAAGTGTAATTTTTAAACCAGTACACCTGCTCGCATTTTTTGTGACTAAGTCATTGTTACCTAAGGTGATGTGGCTTTGTTTTAAGGCACAGACATTTAAAAATGCTTCTTTTGCATGTTTTGTCATATTTGTAGCTGCGGCTGATAGACTGGGGCCTGGCAGAGTTTTATCATCCTGCTCAGGAATACAATGTCCGTGTAGCCTCAAGGTACTTCAAAGGACCAGAGCTCCTCGTGGACTATCAGGTAAGTCTCTTAGTGGAGCTGTTCTGGGTTACTTTTATACCTCCATGGGGCTTTTTCTGGTTTACAGTATATTTGGTAGGTTTAGATACGTTCAAAACCCAATCAAACATTATTCAGTCCCCAAGTGCAATTTTAGATTTCTGTCAGCTACTTGTGTGGGGAATGGGAAACCTGCTAATTCTTTTTCTTTTCTTTTTTTTTTTTTTTAAGAGATTTTTGCTATAGGGTGCGTGTGCTCACCAGAGAGACAGAAAGCTAGAAATCACCTCCCAGGGCTACTGGCCATACCGCAATCCCTTCTCCATTCTCCTCTAGGGATCTTGGGCACACAAGCACATGCGCCGGCCTGAGTTTCAAGCCTCTAGCTCTGGGACTCGGACTTCAGTCGGCCATGTGGGAGTCCAGCGACGTAACCGCTACACCATCTGCTGATCCCGAAAGCTTTTAATTTTAAAATAAATATCTGTAAAGGTCAAATGAAGACTGGAAACAGGTCAGAAACATAGGTTTTTAACATCCTTGGCTGACTGACTGTTCTCCCTTCCCAGATGTATGATTATAGCTTGGACATGTGGAGTCTGGGCTGCATGTTAGCAAGCATGATCTTTCGAAAGGAGCCCTTCTTCCATGGCCAGGACAACTATGACCAGGTGAGCAGACACCATCTGGCTGTTATTTACTTGAGCACGAATGCCAAGAAAATAAAATAGGTAGCATTCTTAGATAGAAGGAAAATAAATAATATTCCTATCTCAGAAATACTATTGTTAAGCCACGAAATATCATTCAGTGTTTGCATATCAACTTTTCTTCCAGATAAAGAATTTCACAGAATTTTGTCTGTAGTTGCCAGGTTCCCAGAGTTACAGAGACAAACAATACCATCCATGGCAGGCTTCCAGAGCCAACCTACAAAGAAGTCAGGCTCCTCTTTGCCCAGTAAAACTAGATTCTTGTCATTAGATTGTGGTGCTTCCATAATCGTCAGCTTCTTAAATATTGACTTAAGTTGTATTATCATTTTAAAGTCAGTTTGGAAATTCACATTGTGTGAACTTCGTGTCCTTGGGTCTGTTTGCCTGCCCCAAACTCACATGTGTATGTGGTTCCTGGGGATTGAGTGGTGTGGAAGTCTTCTGATCCCCTGGTGCAGCGTCCTCACAGGCTCACAGCGAGTTCTGTGCTCAGTGATTTGGTCAGTTTGTTTTGTGTTTCAGCTTGTTCGCATTGCCAAGGTTCTGGGTACAGATGAACTGTATGGGTATCTGAAGAAGTATCACATAGACCTAGATCCACACTTCAACGATATCCTGGGACAGTAAGTAAGAGAGGGAAAGAAAGAGGGCTTACCTTTACTTCATTTCAGAAGTGGAAAGGTTAGCCAAATCACTTTATTTCCCTTTTCCAGTCATAACACAATGGAAATACTCTTCTTTTTCCTCCCCATGCTTATTATCTTCAACTTATTTTGAGGTATTTGGGCATTGTCTACAGGTCTTCTAATCATTTTACTTTCAAGAGATTATCAGTTTTAAAAAAATGGAAAACATAATATTACAGAAAAAAAGCCTTTTTGGCACAGCAAATGTTTATTTTAATCTCAAATCTTGGAAAGCTGAGATGATTCTACGAATAAAAGATATATAGTTTCTTCTCTGTAATAGATTTTCTATAAGTTAGTTAATTTTGGGACCAGCGGTTGACGTAATGGCTATGTCGCTAGACTCCCATGTAATCGACCATGATTTAAGTCTCGGATCTGGCGGCTTAAACTCATGCTGGGCACGTGTGCGTGCGTGCCCAAGATCCCGAGAGAAGACTAAAGGAGAAGGGATTGCAGCACGGCCATCCCTCCTGGGGGGGGGGTGATTTCTCGCTTTCTGTCTCTCTGTCTCTCTCTGTCTTTCTGGTGAGTGCATGTGCCCTATAGCAAAAACCTCTCCAATTTTTTTTTAAGAGATTTTTGCTATAGGGTGCGTGTGCTCACCAGAGAGACAGAAAGCTAGAAATCACCTCCCAGGGCTACTGGCCATACCGCAATCCCTTCTCCATTCTCCTCTAGGGATCTTGGGCACACAAGCACATGCGCCGGCCTGAGTTTCAAGCCTCTAGCTCTGGGACTCGGACTTCAGTCGGCCATGTGGGAGTCCAGCGACGTAACCGCTACACCATCTGCTGATCCCGAAAGCTTTTAATTTTAAAATAAATATCTGTAAAGGTCAAATGAAGACTGGAAACAGGTCAGAAACATAGGTTTTTAACATCCTTGGCTGACTGACTGTTCTCCCTTCCCAGATGTATGATTATAGCTTGGACATGTGGAGTCTGGGCTGCATGTTAGCAAGCATGATCTTTCGAAAGGAGCCCTTCTTCCATGGCCAGGACAACTATGACCAGGTGAGCAGACACCATCTGGCTGTTATTTACTTGAGCACGAATGCCAAGAAAATAAAATAGGTAGCATTCTTAGATAGAAGGAAAATAAATAATATTCCTATCTCAGAAATACTATTGTTAAGCCACGAAATATCATTCAGTGTTTGCATATCAACTTTTCTTCCAGATAAAGAATTTCACAGAATTTTGTCTGTAGTTGCCAGGTTCCCAGAGTTACAGAGACAAACAATACCATCCATGGCAGGCTTCCAGAGCCAACCTACAAAGAAGTCAGGCTCCTCTTTGCCCAGTAAAACTAGATTCTTGTCATTAGATTGTGGTGCTTCCATAATCGTCAGCTTCTTAAATATTGACTTAAGTTGTATTATCATTTTAAAGTCAGTTTGGAAATTCACATTGTGTGAACTTCGTGTCCTTGGGTCTGTTTGCCTGCCCCAAACTCACATGTGTATGTGGTTCCTGGGGATTGAGTGGTGTGGAAGTCTTCTGATCCCCTGGTGCAGCGTCCTCACAGGCTCACAGCGAGTTCTGTGCTCAGTGATTTGGTCAGTTTGTTTTGTGTTTCAGCTTGTTCGCATTGCCAAGGTTCTGGGTACAGATGAACTGTATGGGTATCTGAAGAAGTATCACATAGACCTAGATCCACACTTCAACGATATCCTGGGACAGTAAGTAAGAGAGGGAAAGAAAGAGGGCTTACCTTTACTTCATTTCAGAAGTGGAAAGGTTAGCCAAATCACTTTATTTCCCTTTTCCAGTCATAACACAATGGAAATACTCTTCTTTTTCCTCCCCATGCTTATTATCTTCAACTTATTTTGAGGTATTTGGGCATTGTCTACAGGTCTTCTAATCATTTTACTTTCAAGAGATTATCAGTTTTAAAAAAATGGAAAACATAATATTACAGAAAAAAAGCCTTTTTGGCACAGCAAATGTTTATTTTAATCTCAAATCTTGGAAAGCTGAGATGATTCTACGAATAAAAGATATATAGTTTCTTCTCTGTAATAGATTTTCTATAAGTTAGTTAATTTTGGGACCAGCGGTTGACGTAATGGCTATGTCGCTAGACTCCCATGTAATCGACCATGATTTAAGTCTCGGATCTGGCGGCTTAAACTCATGCTGGGCACGTGTGCGTGCGTGCCCAAGATCCCGAGAGAAGACTAAAGGAGAAGGGATTGCAGCACGGCCATCCCTCCTGGGGGGGGGGGGATTTCTCGCTTTCTGTCTCTCTGTCTCTCTCTGTCTTTCTGGTGAGTGCATGTGCCCTATAGCAAAAACCTCTCCAAAAAAAAAAAAAAAGTTAGTAAATTTTAAAGCATATTAAATTTGCAGTGCAGTAGTGTTGAAAAGTAAATGAGTGACAATTTAAAACTTCTTGGAATAATCTACAAAGGTTCTGTCAATTCTAAGTCAGAGGTAGAAGTTTTAATTAATTCTATTAATCTCATCACAAATACTATTGTGTTTCCGAATGCTATGATGTAACCCTGGGGGGTAGGGCTGGTACCAGTAGAAGTCTAAGAAATCATTGGCTTTAGCCCTATAAATAAAGCTTCTTATTGAATTTAGTATCTCAGTTATACTAATGCTTTAATTTTCTTCCTAGGCATTCTCGGAAACGCTGGGAAAACTTTATCCATAGTGAGAATAGACATCTTGTCAGCCCTGAGGCCCTAGACCTTCTGGACAAACTTCTGCGATACGACCATCAACAGAGACTGACTGCCAAAGAGGCCATGGAGCACCCCTACTTCTGTAAGTCTCCAGGGACTGTTTTCAGCGGGTATAATTTATGAAAGGAAAAAAAAATCTTTTACTTTTCTTTTTTGAGGCAATAAAGAATTCTATGTATTCGAATCAGATCATTTTTGAAGTTTGGCCTCATTTGTTCAAGACAGTTGAGACAATTCTGCAGATCAGTGTCTTGATCCCAAAGGTATTTGCTTATTCACTGGCTGTAGCTCCCTTGAGTTTAGTCTGTTTGACCACTCGCTGTCACCTAAGTTATTAGAGAGCTAGTATCTAAAATTGGTTCAGATACAGTCAGCTCTCCCAGCCAACCAAGAATAAAAAAATGTTACCTTGCCACTAATATGAACTGCATAGTTAGGCCTGTGATGGTTGCATCTGTACCAGACATGTACAGGCTTTTTTTTCCCTTGTCATTCCCTAAACAGCTATACAGTATAACAGCTATTTACATGGCATTAACATTTCATTTGGACATCAAACGTAATCTGGACACAAGCTGAAGTATGTGGTGGATATGGGTGGATTATATGCAGATACTACACTATTATATGTAAAGGCAGATTTTGGTATACTAGGGGATCCTAAAACCAATACCCCCCACAGATACGGAGGGGTGACTATATATACATTTTTGTGGAAACCTCCTTAGAGATTATTTATCCTCTCAAAAAAAAATAAACAAGAAATTAGTTTAAAGTAGTAAGATATGCTGGGTACATGTATGTGCGTGCCCAGAATCCCAAGAGGAGGTTAGAAGAGAAGGGATTGCGGCGTGGCCATGCCCCCTGGGGGTATGATTTCTCACTTTCTGTCTTTCTGTCTCTCTGTCGAGCGCATGTGCCCTATAGCAAAAACCTCTCTCTCAAAAAAAAAAAAGCAAAAACGCATAGTAGTGAGATAAACACTGTATATTTCTTCTTTTTTAAAAAGTATTTTTCCCGAGGGCACATGTGCTTGCCAGAGAGAGAGAGAGAGAGAGAGAGAATGAATAAGAAAGCACCCCCACGCATGGGGAATGGTCACATCTCAATCTCTTCATTTCTCTGTCTCTGCATTTTGGGCATGCATATATGGCATGCACACACACCTGGCATGTTTACCCGCATGTCCATGCTAAATCCATGTAGGATTTAGCTACCTTAACCACTGTGGCGCTGGCTGGCCCACCACTATATTTCTAAAGGACAAAACATGTAAATAGAATTTGAGGAAAGGAAAGCAGGCCTGCAAATGCCTGAAGTTCTAACTAAGCTGCTGCCTTAAATATGTGTGTACATTTAGTTTATGTGGTTGTCTATTGCTCTGTGTGCGTTAAGGCCTTCCCACTGGAATGTATGCTTCAGGTAAACGTTTCTCAGATTATCAGCCATGTTAAATTGGTTTAGTCCAGTCACGAGGTTAAGTGACTTCTCAGTTCAGACTGAATCAAGATAAAAACTTTTTTTTTCCAGTTTGCTATAGGGCGTGCGTGTTCCCTGGAAAGAAAGAGAGAACTAGAGAGAGGGAAAGTTGTGTGTGTGTGTGTGTGTGTGTGTGTGTGTGTGAGTGTATGTGTGTGAGAGAGAAAGAGAGAGAGAGAAAGATAGGCAGAACTAGTGAGAGAAAGTGAGAGATCACCCCCAATTGAGAATAGCCACGCCACAGCTCCATTTCCTCCATTATCCTGTCAAGATTATGAGCGCCCACACATATGCACTGGGCAACTTTTTTCAAGCTGCTGGGTCCAGGACTTGAACCATACAGTCAGCCATTTGGGATCCAGTTGCCTTAACCTTCATGCCACCTGCTGGCTCAAGATGGAAATGTTTATCCCCCAGAGTTTTTGTCTGTTTGACCAATGTGCTCTCTTTCCTTTTTCTTTGGAGATTAAATCCTTGCCTGAAGAATATTTTGCTGTGGTCCTACACATACAATTCACAAACTTAAGGAAACAGCTGATTTAAAAGGTTTTGCCACTTCAGCCATCTAGACCTCAAACCAGGTGCCACTCAGACGTCCTCTTTATAACATCTGGCACAGAGAGCTATTTTCACCCTTTGAGTTAGAGCAAATAAGAACACTAATTTTGAAACATTTTAATTCCCAGCCCATCTCCTTTTGTGAATATGCATCCTACTTCACTTTAAAGAATTTTAAACTGCTGTTGCTTAAAATTAGTAGGTCTTCTGGGACCAGCAGGCGGCATGGTGGTTAAGGCATTGGACACTCCCACATGGCCAACAACGGTTTGAGTCCTGGACCTGGTGATGTGCTTTCTCACTTTCTCTCTAGTCAAATTAAAATAAATGAGTGAATAAATAAAATTAAATAATTTTTTAAAATTAGTAGGTCTTTTGAAGCTTCTTTTTATTTTTCCTTTTCTCTGAGGTGCTTGTTACTACACATTCTCTGAAGAAATTAGGAATTGGGTGTGACATTAGTATTCAAAGAAAATAATACATAAAATTAGTAGAAATTTTGAGGTGGGAAATTAGGGTTTTTGTGCCTCTCAGTAGTGGAGTTTGTACTCTGAGGAAATAAACGTTGACTGGGAGAACAATTCCCCTGATCATTTTTCAGTGTCTGCACTTTGTGGTTTCTCTCTTGCCCTGCTGTCGCTGACCTGCCTGTCAGTCTGTCTCGGGGTCCCTGTATCACTGGGAGTGGAGATCGCCGTGGCACCCCATCTGCACTCAACAGCCCCTCTGACTCACCTCCTGCTTTCTTGCAGACCCTGTGGTGAAGGAGCAGTCCCAGCCGTGTGCAGACAACGCTGTGCTGTCCAGCGGTCTCACGGCAGCACGATGAAGACTGGGAAGCGACGGGTAATGCGGCATTGATGCTTGCCAATAAACCAACCAACCAAACACAAATCTTGAAGGAAAACTACAGTGTGATAAAGAGATTCTAATTCCTTCTAAATGCAAAGAAGAGTAAAGACCTAAAAGTCTGTCAAAAAGAAAGAAACTCCCCAGTACTAGTCTGCAGGGAGCTGCCATGTGGCAGCATGCGGATGCACATAGTTCAGGACCCGAGGGAACGCTCCCTTTGGAATGCATGGGAGATGAGAGACTCGGAGTTGTTGTCCATTCACCTTGATTTAACAGGGCACCTCTGTTGAATTAACCCGTTCAGTCAACAAGCTCTGAATATCTGACTTCCTATCTATTCCATTGTGGTCTGGGTTTCCTTTGGTGAGATTCAGACTCAAGTTTTAGCAAATCGTCAGCAGTCTATACTGACACACCAGCCTCATTTATGAAAAAGGAGATATGAAAACAGTGACAGTATTTTTTTTTAAGCTCTTTTACAAATTCATGTTTTATGTATTTTTTTATGACATGAGTTCTCCAGGAAATGTACCTCATCCCTGCAGTTTTCCTCTAAGTGTATTCATTTGGGAGGAAACTGCAGTCATGTTCACAAGAGAGAGTCCTCTTTGATGTCAGCAGGCATCACTATAAACCTTGCGATGCCATAAACAGGTCCATCAGTCTCTTCAAAACTCTCGTTCAAAACTTCCATGCTAAGTGCATGACTTGGAGCTCACTGTAACCTTTGTTGATTTGCCTAACCATAAAATATTATTGCTACCTTTTTCTTTAGCCTTTTTTCTTTCCTATTTTTTTTTTTTTTTTGCAGTCTTGTAAGGAAAATCTCACCATTTCCCAGCACATCCCTGTGTGTGCACGTATTTTAGTGCACCTGCCTGAAAGAAAGACATTTTTGTTCAAAACTAGAACTAAGGCTGGAAAGTCAGGCTTCAGGCAGGTTGGGAGAGAGGAAAACATCCCATTAAAATTTATTCAGGAAAGACTTAATGAAAAAATGTATTGCCTGTCCCTCTTCCCTCTTTTTATCCCCATGAGAAACAGTTTTCCCACTGTAATCAGGGTAATACGCATTTTTAAGCTCTGATATGTGAGACATGAATGTGATAGCAAAGATAAGTCTTTCTCGCATGCAGGTACTGGAGTTGTGTGGGCAAGGCCATTTGAAAACTCAAGCAACTGAGAGGAGAAGAATATTCAAGGGGCTTGGGGAAGGGAGTGGAGCAAGTGTTAAAGCTTTGGATCCATTGTGCTAACCCTAATGTTAGCAGGGGAAGGAAGCTAGATTTTGTTTTTAAAAAAAAAAAAAATAGGGCTGATTTCATTTGCGGGACTTGTCATCAGTGTGGTTTGCAGACAGTCCCCTCACCCCAGCTGCAGAGCCCTGCCACAGCTCTGGGGACTTCACACACTTAGGATAGAACTAGAGGTGACTACCATCACATTACACTTTAGGATTTCTTTATTAATTATTTAATAACGCCATACATTTTTATAAGGTTAGATTGTTTGTTTGAAACATCTGTTTACATTCCATATTCCAATAAAATTGTATTGGTATTGGTAGCAGGTCCTATCTAAATGTAGATTCTATTTTTGTTGTTTGGTCTGTGAGAATTTAAAATGCAAATGAAAGAAACTCTTCTGTAGAGTTAACAGATTAAAAAATAAAAAACAAAATCCCAAAGCCAAGAAATGCATTCAGTTAAGGTTCTCATACCAATATTGCCTGCCTGCATTGCACATTCTGTATATTAATGTTTGTTCTACCTGAAAATCAAAGACAGGATGTGAGCTCTCAGCTGAACCGGTATTGATATGTCAGACAGCAAAACTCAGTGTTTCGGATTATCAAAAGCCTTCCTATGTGCCCTTACAGGCAATACTGGCCGTTGGTTATGATCAGGGAGATGTGCCACTGTGTGTCTTTTCTGCTCCCCTACCTCCCAGATCCTCCTTATCACCTACTCCCCTGTCCCCTGCCTTTCTGTTATTTTAAGTTGCCTGTCTGGACCAGGCAAGAGGAACCTACTGGAGGGTTTTGCCGAAGCAGTAACCCCATTTCTTTTCCTCGTGTCCCCCAGAGGCTTAAATAAAAGCACCTGGAGGAGAAGAGTCAGGTGATTGACCTCTGCCTCCCTCTGACCGTGATTTAGTTGGGACAGACGCAGCTAGCCTGCCTGTCCTTGGGTTCTGTAACTGCAGCTTTGACACAGAAGTAATCTTCCTTTGTAAGCATAGTTTACTTTTCCAGCACTTGTACTTGTTACCTCTCTTCATGCCTTAGACTTAGAGCATAACTGGGTTGGAAATGCTCACTCCCTTCTGGGTCTGGTTTGACACCTTGGCCGTATTTTCCCAAACTGAAGTCAGTCCAGACCTCTTTTACCTGTCTCCAAGACCATTTTGTATCCGGGTGGACCTAGCTCCCCTGAGGTTTTAAAGTATTTACCTGATTAGGACAGGATCTTAGAGAGTTCCAAAAGAGTGTGTGTGCATGTGTGTGTGCACACACATATGTGTGGAAGCGGGAGTCTAGTCTTACAGACTAAATAAACTATGGTAAATTTGCCATCTTGGTATCCTTTTCAGTTAGCATATTCTTACATTCATCTCAGTAATTTTCATTTGTTTGTTCATTACCTTATAACAGGTTAAAAGTGCCTACGATAAGGACTTAATTATTCCCTGAAGAAAAGCAAAAAATGTGGGGAACAGGGTAGTGTTACACTATCATCTCAGGTACTGCCTATGTTCAAAACATAGACCTGGTGTGGTGAGAGCAGAAGGTTCCTATGCCAAATCCCAATTGATATCTCATTGTTTCTTGGCCATGGGTGAGTATAGTTGCAGGGTTCACCTGGGCTGAGAAATCCCTTGGGAGAGTGGAACTAAAGTACTAAATAATAATGTGGCCTGGCGGCATTCTCACTCTCCTGGATCAGATCAGCTGGCCTTGCTCCTGTCCTGTCCCTGTGGTGGGTGGCTGGGTGGAGAAGCCATTGAGTGTACAATGCAGACCAGGCATGCCTGGGTCTTCTTACAAGAGAAATGCTGATGCTGGTTCAGTGAGGCACTTAAGTGTCAGTCACTCAGCTGGATCTCCTAACGGACATTCTGTAGCACTCAGCAGCACTCACAAGGTTTAAAGCAAATGTATTCCCTTGCAGAGAGGAGGGTACTCTCAGACTGACTGATTAGAGGAAACAGAGAAGAGCACAGTCCTTGGGAGCTTGGAGAGAAGGGGGGGGGGCAGTTAAAAGGAACCAATACGAAACCGAGACTAAAGGCAGATCTAGAGGTGGAAACATACTTCTTGAGGGGATAAATTGAGGGGACACCAAGTTCGTCTTCTGGAACATGCCCTGGGGAGGGCACTGCCCCTGGATTGGTTCCAGTGGGATGGAAAAGTGGTGCTCTCGGTCAGGTGCTGAGTTCTGAGAGCTGGGTGTCATGGATCTCACAGTCTGTGCCTACTCAGGGAAATGACTTAGGTTCTCCCAGGTGCTGCATTGATGAGGACAGAGGCAGAACTACTTTGGGACACAATTGGAGGAATTTTTTAATATGCATCGAAATAGATCTAAGAGCCCAGTTAACAGTTTCCTTTAATGCCAGTTCAGATTAAATGATTAGTTAAAAAACCTGTTATTGCATGAACACCTGCAGGAGAAAAGCAGATTTCCTTCCTGTAGATAAATGAGCAGTTAATAACTGATCAGAATCACAGGCATTTAAATATAAACTATTCCGAGAGCAAAAACAGGGTCCACGTGAGGACGTAAGAAGCCAAAGTTTGTCAATGAGCTTAATCAATTATGACTGAATAGTGTCCTGCCTTTAAAAACTAACCCCAGGGGAAGATGGGAAGAGGGGAAATGGTAGAGAGACATCTGGCCAAGAAAACCAGTTTTTCAACTATTAGAATGTGTTAATGAAAACACCCCCAACTAGGTATTGTAGAGGCTGGAAAAAGAAGTGTGATGGAATTATACAGGTGGTGCATACTTTGTGTGAAGACTCAACAATGTGCTACAAATGTGATACTTAACCCTGAACTGCATGTATTGGGGATTGTTTTAAAAAGAAAAAAAAAAAAAAAACCTTAAAAAACTTTGAACCAATAAATTAACAGTTTTTCACTTGTGGCTCTTCTTGCTGTAAATGTTGACTAAGAGGTTGGGACAAAAATCTTGACATCCAGTGGAAAGCTTGGATGATCTTCAAGAACTATGGAGCCTTCTGTTTGCAGAAAAGCAACACTGCCTGGGTTGTGATCCTTTAGGAGTGACTACTTTAGACACAATTGGCCACCTCTTTGTATCACTGGATGACTGATGTATGATTTATGTGCTGCTGCCCTTAGAGGGAAGAAAAATGCCATGTTAAATCCTGTTTCCTAAATAAAAATGTTGACAATACCGAGCCTTCCCAAGTGGAAGACAAACCATTGCTATGAGGACCTTAACTTGTATTTCCTGTCTTGGGGGGGTGGGGGGAGGAGGGGTTAAACCTTGAAGTGCAAAGATGGGTGGGTGGTGATTGCAGTTAAATCACCTTGATATGAAGACTTGAACAGAAGTGGGACTAGAGTGGTATGAGATAGTTCTGTTTCTTCATGCTTGTTTCTGATTTATACCACTCGGATACCTGCTTCTTGGAATTGTTTTATTGCATGACTTTGACCTTGCAACCCAGTGTCCTATGCTTATGAATATCTCTCCCCACCTCCATTCCTTGCAAAATATGCAGACACCTGCTATTGATTGACAGACAGTGGTGTCTTGAGTGTGCTTTCTCTGGAGTTGGAAGCTTAGAAATCATTTGGAGTACTTTTAAGGCAAATAATAATAATTTCTTTCTTAACCGTAGGTACCATGCAGCCTTTCTCAAATACTAAGCAGTGGAACCCTCCTTTACCCATAGAAGATTTTCATGAAATGATTTTTGTGTGACGGCTTCTCAGGTGCATAGTTCTTGCAGTATCTTAGTACAGTTCTGAGACCCTGCTAGAATTCCACTGCTGGCATCTCAGCACACACAATGCTGTGCTGGACATGGAAGGAGAAACAAGGTTTTGACGCCCTGCCAGACAGCTACTTCCAGAGGACAGTTAGATATCTGAGCTCACTCACTGCTGCTTGTTTGTTAGTTAATATGAAGCCCTTGTCTGATTCCTGGTCCTAAGAAGTCCTCGATAAATGGGCTGAGGTCTGAGGAGGGTTACTGAACTTATAGGTTGACTTGCACCGAACAGTCAAGAGGCTTTGAGCTTCCACATCAGTTTCCTTGGTCCAGGGAAGGGTCTGGGAGACCTGTTTATGGGACACATAGTGTCTTAAGTTCATCCCTTTCTCTCAGGAGGCCATGCTCAGGGCTACTGTTGGAGGATCAGAAGAGGAAGGAAAAGGGTATTTGAAACCTGGAATTGTAAAGCAGGTTCTTTATAGGTCTCCTGTAAAGTGCCATGGGAAGGTAGAACTTGCATTCTGCCCTGACTCTTCACTTAAAGGAGCCCTGCACGGTGGAGGCTGACCCCCCATCTGGTCAGATTGATTAATGCCGTCTTTCCCCTCCTCCCATCTCTTTCCCCAGGTCTGTTGCGGTACCTCTCACTTTTCCATAAGCAGAACAAGAACCAAATCAAACGTCTTAACGTGTGTAGAGATCATGTTCCATGAGCAGACACACATGGTGACTGGTTTGGCGTGCACAGACTAGACGAGCTGAAGGGCAGCCGCCACTGTGTATTAAACCTCACTTCCGAATATAAAAGGTTCACAGGCCTTTGGCTTCCTGTTGACTTCCTCCCGACCCAAAAAGCATGGGAAATGTGAAGGGTATGCAACATGGTTGTTGGTGACTGTTGCTCCCCATAACCCTCTGCCATGGCCTCCTGTTTTTCCAGTAGACCACATTAACCAGGCCCCACTTGTGAGGACTGGGCAGATGGCATGACAGACAGTTGCATACTATTTAAAAATATGTATTATTGAATAAAAGATTTTTAAAAGAAATGTATGGAGTTTTCCATCTGGAAGGGGCCAGTAAACTTACCCTTGGCCATGAGGACTGAGTGCAATTGAAGTGCATTGGTGGTGCCAGGGCCTAACCAGAGGAGAGCTAGGCAAGTCCTGGGGCAGACCAGAAGGCCAGCACCCTGGACACTGCAGACAGTAGTGAGAAACACCATATGCGGCAAGTCACCCTTCAGCCCCTCCTACCAAATTGAGGCATTGGCATCAGGTGGTGGATAAAGGTCACCTCTAGTAAACTCATACCCCAGCCCTTTATTGGTGGTCCCTTTGCTCATGTGTCCACATTACATCTCATCCCCCAATTCTGGCATACTCCCACCCTAAACACCATGTTCTGAAAAAAAAAAAATAACCATTTTGGAGAATGGTTGAGTCATGTCCTGAAGCCAGAGGGATAAGGAGTCTCAGATCCAAGGACTGCTTTTGTTCATTTTTTTTTCCCATCTTAGTCACATTTAATTGTATTAGGTCATTGGGAAAATCATTATGTATTTTTCTGTTTTTCTATGCAAAAATGCATCATGACTTTCCCAACAACCCAATACATCTCTATAGCGCATAATAGGGGTTTTCAAAGTATGTATGCTAGGTATGTGACAATGGTATTACCATAGGCTTCATTTTCAACAGAGAACTTTTATGTTCTTGTATCTGTTAAGTATTTCTTTCCTGAGTCCTTTCCCCTCATTCTGTACTGTCCATCCTCCTTTCCATGCAGTCTCTAGTTAACCTATAGTTCTCACTATTATAGCTACAGATCTTCCAATTTTTGCCACAGAATGCAAACATTTGGCATATATTGAGCAGGGATATACAGTGTCTTTCATATAGTCTGGCTTATTTAGCACTAAGTCTTTATCCACTTTGTATCAAATGTCAGGGTTCGTTGTTCCTTATGGCTCAGTAGTATTTTATAGTGTATATGTACCACGTCTTTTCAATCCACTCATCATCAGTTCATGGGCACTCAGGTTGATTCCATCTTAGTAACTGTGAATAATGCTGTAATTACCATGTTCTTGATCATATTCTAAAGCTTCTGTGAACTGGAAGGAAAAGTGTCCTGCACAAACGTGAGAGAATGGAATGGAAGCACCAGTTATATATAATAAGTTTAAAAGTTTTAAAATAAGCCTTCACTGACTCCTTCAGGCCTCATCTCCCGAGACAGCTATGATAGGGAGTTGAGAGAGGTGTCTGTGGTATGGGGCTGCCCAGCCTGGTCTCTGGCTGCTGATCTGCGTCTGCACTACCTGTAGGGAGTGGAAGCCATAGGCAGGTCAACCAGGAGACTGGATGGTATGCCCATGAGGTCACAGAAGCTGCTTGGTCCACATGGCATTCCTCTTCTCACTTTGTGCTTGTTCTAAATGACTGCATGAACCCAAGTGTGAATGCTTATAGGTTTTCTTTTTTAAGAATTACTTATTTATTTTATTTTGACAAGAGAGGGACAGAGAGAAAGTGAGAAAGGAAGTCACTGGGCCTGGGACTCAAACTGCAGTGGACCATGTGGGAGTCCAGCACCCTTAACCATCACACCACCTGCCAACCCCGATGTTCATAGTTTCTGAAGTGATTATGGGAAGAAAGCAAAAAGGCCCTTTTCAGGGCCCTCATGGCATCAGTAGTGTCCTTTGGATCAGCTTTGGCAGAAAAAAGCAGTGTCTAAAGTGTGAGCATGAGACTGCATGCTCCCAGGCACCAGCTGGTGAGACCGCTCAGGTCACCATCAAAAGACTAGAAAGTCAGTGGGACACTGAGCAGATGAATTTGATACTTTCCACTACCAGCCTAGTTTTGTCATTCTCACGGGACCCTTTTGAGTGAAGGCGCTGTTGTTGGTCAACTTCCAGATCTCTGAGATGGTATCTAAATACCTCATTTGAATGAACATATCCTATGGACATGCTTCATTTGTGTGTGTCTATGCAACATGTATCTGTGATCTCCCTGTTGACCTGGGACATTTCCAGATGTGAAGGGTCTTGTCTGAATAAATACAGAGTAGATGGGCATAGAAATTATTTTGATATCATGTAGAACTTGAAATAAGTGAGAAAGAGGAATTTTTGCTGGGCCAGCAGGTGTCTTGTTCATTAAGGCACTAAACTCCCACAGTGCAAGTCCTGGACCTGGCAGCAATTTTTTTTTTTTTAAAGAATTTTTACTTAGGTTGTCTTGACTTGGTGAAAGGAACCAGTCACTCACCAGCCCAAGAACACATACATAATTGGTGATTCACAACATCAGTTCATATCTTCCTGCAGTCTTTTTTGTATTTGGTTAATATTTATTCCATCTTCCTGCTTTCCAAAGTAATCTGGTAAATTCAAATGTTACAGAAAAGGAAATGACTCTC